AAAGCTACATGTAACAGTAAAGATACAATCAAAGGAAGCTCAAGAACAAAAAAAGACCAACGCCGATGTCTATTGCAAGGAGTAACCATAATTTAATGTGAATGACAAGGTATGATTACTTCATCATAATATCAAGAGTATTTGTTCTTGTGATAAGTTGAACTATCGTAGACTGAGACCTTTTTCTATTTGTGAAAAAATCAATCATGTTGCTTATTGATTACATCTATCGGAGTCTATGAAGATCCACCTTGTATTTTATGTGTTTCTTCTTGAGTCATATAAGACAATGAATATTTTGAGAAGAAGATAAATACCACCTCTTCCTATAAAAGTAAATAATAATTAAGACTTTGAAATGGAAGAAATCTTATATTCAAGGTGGCACCAAAATACATTAAAATATCTTGTTCATTGGCACAAATATGATATTAGTAAATGCACATGGGAGCCAGTAAAGAATCTTACAAATGCAACAAAGAAGGTTGAAGCCTTTCATCGACGACATCCATCAAAACAAAGATGAAGAATTGTAAGATCCATAAAAGATGATGATCGCTACTCGTGGAACTCATTCCTAGAAGGAAAGGTAATATCATGGACATATACATTTATCCAAATAATTACTTATATGATTAGGTAAGACTAGGTAAATATAAATTAATTTCATAAAGTCTTCTAAAGAAGCTTCATAGATGCGATTTTGACTTAAGATGTGTTTGTAGCTTAAAAACTTGCCTAATAAGTTAACCTTGTGTTGGTAGCTTGTGGAACAAATTAACTCCATTTAGTAGCTTATGGAACAAATTAACTCCATGTAGTAGCTTGTGGAACAAGCTAACTATGTGGCGCATACATAAATAACTTGCCTTGCAAGTTAAGACATGTGGCTAGTAAAATCAATACATGTTGGAAGTCTTGTAGAATATCACCATGTAGTTCCTAATTAGAGAGTATATATGGATGCAAGAGTGAAGCATTCTTCACTCTTCTCAATGCCTTTCTATTCGTTAGTCTTGTTTTAAGACTTTCTAATCTTTTTTTATGGAAATAGTAATTCTAGTTTAATATTATATCATCTTTGAGTGACTTTCTGGTTACTTTTAGTAACACAAGAGTGTATTGAGGATTTTCTTTCTTTAAAATTCATGTCCTTAATACTTGTTTAACTTGGTTTGCAATAGAGTCAAAGGATGTATTTGTTGAGAGCCAACTTCTTAAGATTTTCTTATCTAAGATTGAAAAGAAATTTTTGGATTTAGATGTACCAAGAATTATTTTCAACTATGATGATAAGATAACATTGGCACAAGCATTTGCTAAAGTTAAAAATGCAATAAGAAACTTTATCAATATGATACTACTGACATAGTAGCTTCGATGATTGATGTGTCTAAGCCCAAAAATATAGCAATTGCTACAAGTAGCTTCATAGAAAGTCAACCTAAAAAGACTATGCATTGTTTGATGTGTGATGAATCTGATCATACAAAGAATAATCTCGATTGTCCTACAAAAAAATAACATTACACATAGAGAAGTCTAAGCCAAAAGTTGAAATTGCTAAAGTAGGAGATAAATCTATAAAAGAGTAATTAAAAATATATTCATTGTAATAAGCTAAACTACAATGAAGATAATTGCTTCATATTACATCTATACAAACGACCTACTTTGGATAAGAAAAAGACCTTGGAAGCTAAAAATTTTAAGTTGGAGAAGAGATTTAATAATGTGGCTACATTAAGCCAAGTCACTAGATTTCATGTGACTTTTAGAAGTGAAAAAAATTCTTCTTTTCCAAAAAATTATATATTCAATGCATCAAGACAAATAGTGGTTGTAATTACCATACATGCCCAAACAACAGCTAGGAATATGGCACCTACAACAAATGAGGTACTAGAACCTTTATCTAACCATTTTAATAATCATAGACATTTTAATATTCATGTGCAATTGTCTTTATCTTTTCGGCTTAGAAGTGTTAATTTTGTAGCAAAGCCTTCTTCATCAAATTCAATACAAGATGAAGATATTAGAGTTAAAAATATAGTATATATTTTAGTTTATAAAGTATTAAAAATACTTTTTTTTTCTAGTGTTGACTTTTTGGCTTCAAAATTTAAACCAATAGGGATCTTTTAATTTTTTGGTAAAATATTCAATGGCAAAGTGCCTATGCCATTGTTACATGGAGCAGAAGCAATCATAAAGCCTTCAATAGAAGAAGATTTAGCTAACTTACAAGCAAAATTTACAACAAAAATTATTGCCATATTTGATGAAGGTCACTCAAAGGTAATAAACATAAATCCTTCAAGTGAGGTGCCATTGGCTAAAGAAGTAGCATTTTTATCTAATGTAGTAGCTAGACCTACTCAAGAACATCAAAATTTGTACCTATGAGTTATACGGATAGTTAAAAATAATAATCTATTAGTTGTTAGTTGTACTAGTAGCAATATCATTCATGCTTATATTTGCATGTTATATTAGATTCTAGAGCTCAAACAGTTATGATTTGTTAATAGCTTGCTCAAGAATTAGGTTTCACTCCTACAGACTTAGAATCCTATCTTTTCATCATTGTCACTTCAGTAGGAAGCATAGAGCAAGCTACCACCTACATTAGGCAACCTTTGTAATTAATATTTTGTACTAGACTTAGTCTACTTTATTCACTCTTGTCTCTAAAGTGTTTAGTGATTAATGCCACGAACTATGATATTTTAGTAGGTCAACAGGCATTTTATCCATTTGATTTTGGCCTAAGTAATTGGAGTGAAGAAGCATGGATTCGACTAGAATGGTATACTAGAGATGGAAGGAAAGAACTAGAGAAGGCACTTGAGAGTATATTAAGTGTGTATTTGTATTTGGTTTAAATTACATATTTTATGATTGATTTGTAGTACTCAATGTGTTGTGAGTAACAAATTCTTTGTTTACATGATGTTATTCTAAAAGATGCATATTTTTTAGTGGTTGAATAATATGAATATTTTTGTAGAATATTTTAGAGCTAAAAAAATCATGACTATAGTTATAATAGAATTTTTGTATTTTATTATGATATTTTTGTTTATAGCTCAAAATATTTAAAATGCATCCAAAAAAATATGTAATTATTATAAATAATGATTTTAAAGAATAGATCTTTTAAGATTGTAGAAATATTAATCTATAGAGATTAAGATGCAAAAATTATAGCAATTTTAATGTTCTCAAATTATTTTATTTTAGAAAAATTTATCTTATTTTATTTTTTTGGCTTACACAATGATTTTATATTGTTAAATTATTTTTTTGAAGAAAATATCCTTGTAGCTAAAAAAATATTAAATAATATATTTTACATCTTTATACATAAAATATTAATTTAGTTATAAAAATATAGTCTATTTTCTTATATAGAAATATAAATTCCATTGTCTTTTATTTAATTATTAGATAACTATTTACACTATCAATTTTTATATTTTCTTTAAAGTCACACCAATATTTGTGATTTATATATCAAAGTTTTATTGACTTACTAACTCTACTAGCCAAGTGCCATTCTAAATTTTCTTACTATTAACTATTTGAACAATAGAAGAAAAATATATATATATATATATATATATATATATTAATAATAATAATAATAAATCAATACTATAATTAACTAAAATTAATCTTATTATCTATAAAAAATATTGAAATTTTATTAAATAAAACTACCACATTTTTTTTGGTTTTATATTTAATATTTTATATAAATTTATTATGACAAGCTATGTGTTTTTTAAATAAAAAATAAGATAATTTATCACATTTTAATTAATGACAAAATCACTTATACAACCATTGAAAAAATATATTCTAATCTAATTATGTATTGTAGCCTATCCACAAATTTTCTATACATTTAACTAACTAGTATCTTAAATGCTTAATAATAAACCAACTCTAAAAATTGAAAATTAAGCATACAAATCTCAATTTAATGTATAAAATTTATGACTAAATTCAAAAAAAAATCCAACCTTAATTTAGATATCTAAATCTTTTTCAAATCCTATATCCACTAAATATTACAAACTTTTATTTTTAAAATCATAATTATAACTATTAGATCACAATCCCAAATAAATCTTAAATCAAAAACTTCAACTATCTATAGAATTGTAGCTAACAACCTTAATGTCAAACCACAATCACCATAAATCACAAAAAAATTCAAATCATTATAAGAATCTAAATGAAATTGTGTTAATTTTATTACAAATCTTATCTTCAATCTTCCCACCACTATTATTTGTGCAACTTCTGGTGAAGCATCGCCAAGTCCATCATTCTCATTCGACTACTATTTGTATGGACGAGAGTTAGACAGGTCCAGAGCTACTTGTTGGATTTTTCCATAAATAGCAACATCGGCACATTCCAAACAGTTTCGGGATTGCATGCAAGGCTTCCATGTGCAACATGTGATTATTTTTTCTTTGTTTCTTTTGGTACCATTCTGAGAAAGGTGCGGCAACCTGCAATGTGGAATAGTTCACCTGACCTGATTGTAGAAATGAGCCAAAAGATGGGTTGTCCCAGGAGCTAAACAATCCATGACATGAATGCAAACTGTGCCAACTCTGTAATCCAGACTATGATAAGCAGCTACAGCAAGTTCTGAACAGATTAGCAGTCAAGCTTTTGCAATATTAAACCAGTAGTTCGGAGGGAACCACTAGAGATGCAATTCACAGTTTCTATCTACAAGTAGCAGTTTGTCCTAAGTGAAATCTGACGGAGGCACAATGCACTGAAGACAAACACGGCAACGGTTAAAACATGGAGAGTGATAGCAAGAACAGACAGACAGACCAGACCAGACCAGACCTCAGGGATTTAGCAATAGGACACAACATGGAGTGGTTCTAGAGATGAGAAATCAAGTCTGATAATGGCGAATGAAATCAGGATTGCAAAAAGCACAGCAGATGAGTTAGGGTTCAATATTGACAAGAAAATTCAAAAGATTTCTTCACTCCACTGCTGCGAGTACATTTGTCTCCCTTGTTGATTGAGACTTGAGACAGAGTTCCTGAAAGGCCTCTCTCACAGGAGAATCACATCGCGAGTGATAGATGCTTTCATAAAATAGATGTCGAATGCATTTACTAAGAATTTTCTTTGATGAATTTCGTTGGATGGGGAATAGAAGAGTACTACAGCACCCACCTTCCGAGTATAATTATCCCATGGGATGGCTATCAATCAAAGGGTTGCCTAATGCTTAGCTTATTATCATACAATTCCGAAATAAGGATCTGCTTACATCACTTGAGAGAGGGCATCGAGCAGAATGGCTCGACGGCTCCGAAGTGTAAAACACGTCTTCAAGAGCCCCCAGAATGTGTCGAAGTCATCTCAAATCCTACGTCATGAGATGACTCTGCAAATGCTGCAGACCCACATTTGGAAACTCTAACGTGTGTCCCACGGTGAATAGGCTCGGTTACAACGGAGCAGTTAACACACTACCATATCTTAGTATCAATGTACATTTGTCTTAGTATCGATGTCGATGATCTTTGCTCACCCGGCTGCAAAAAAATCCCTCACCTTCTGCACCTTCATTCTCCCATCTGCAGCACCCACGTCCTTATGCCTCTTGCTTGCTAAATGGCCTCTTTCAAAATTCCCCAGACTGTATCCAGGCTTAGGGATTCCATAATGTCTATTGCAGCCTCCACAGTAAACCCTATAACCATTGACATCGTCGTGCACTATGGAGAATTTGCCATGAATGTCTTCTGGATGCCCCGCCTGTATGAGCTTCAGTTTTGAACACAATTTGGTGTAGAGGGACGTCTCTGTGTACAATGGAGCGCTACTGTTGACTCTAATCTCGTCTCTTCCAGGCTTGATTAACACTGGCTGCAAAAACACTGGTGGCTGCCCTTCCGATTTCCTTGACCTAAAGACTCTTAGCAAATCTTCTGGACACGGTCCACTATTGACCTCCAAGTCTGGATTGGAGTCTATGTTGTCTCCCACAGACTCTGCAGGGGAGGCATCCAAGCTCATCTTGCATCTTTTCAAACCTGGCTCCAAATCTAACAGCTCATGATTCTCTAAATCATGGCTTGATCCACCGAGATTGAGCTTCACATGAAAGCTCATGTGACAGCCGCATGCGCCGCAGAGCATGCTGCTCGAATTCTCTCCGTCGAAAAGCTGGCATCCATCGACTCCGGGTCCCAAGTGCGCGTGCAACTTGGTGCACTTGCCCCGGTTTCTTGAGTATATCATGACTCGATCCAAGTTGTACCCAGTGACCATTATCTACAAACATCAACCCAAGTTTCAAATGAAGCCCAAAGAGGTGGAATCACTACGGCTTCAGGATCGGTTTTATGATTCCTTTACCAGGTGGGGTTGGAAGAGTACCTAGCAACTTAATCTTAAAAATGAGATTCAAGAAAAGAAAAATACGCTTAGAAAACTACAACCACGGGTTCATTCCTTCGTAGAAAACAGACCTACAATTTCAAGTGGCTAATGTCACCAGCAGTCGGATGTAGGTCTCTCCCTCAAAGCACCAGAGAAGAACAGGGTCTCAGCCACCTCCTCCATTTACACTCATTCGATCCTTTCTCACACATTAGCTAATAGAAGTCACCAATGGACAGTCACGACAGAACCCCATCAGAAACTTCGAATAAGATCCGCTTCGAGTAGCGACAGTATACAATCCGCCGGCGACGCTTGAGATGACTCTTAAGGTGATGCTTCACATCCAGCCGCAACTTGCGTCGAAATCTAATCTAGAGTAAGCATCACTAGTGGTTCTCCATTCGAATCACCTTGCAATTCTTCTGGAGCCGAATGAAGTTGGGCGAAAGCGCCGCGTTAGATTGCTTCAGAATCGCAAGAGTACATGGAATTTCAGCAGATTGGGCACTTCACAAGATCGATAAGCAGTAGAGATCTCACAAAGTTCTGACGTGTGCACTATAAATCGAAGCATCAGGTGTTCCTGCACAGATTGAAGCATATGTGTCTATTTGAGCAGAAATCGACCACACTGCTGATGCTACAAGGCACAAGAAAGACCGTCCATTTCTTGGAGCCTAGAGGTAATGGAGGAGGAATAAGAAGCATGCCAGCCTTAGAATTTCAGATCCAGAACACCTGTTACACGTATTCTTTCGTCATATCACACAAGGCACCGGCATACTATTTCGAGGTTCGTAGGGCACTTTTTCAAACACCCGCTGTCGTGCCTTGCGTAATTTATTCCATTTATCACACTACATCATCGATGTGTTCTAGGTAATATGGATATTGCACCTCATCTTATCTCTTCGTGCGTAGTTTGTTCTTGCGTCTCCAAAGAGCGATACGATCTTCTCCTTGTGTTACGCATAATGAGATCAGATTATGATTAAACCTTGGTAGCCTGGACAATACTCAAAAAAGAAGAAAAAAAGAAAAAAAGAAAAAATCTCTAGAATTGTGGGCAACTCGTTTGGAAGGAAAATGTGCGGCGATGATGTGGTTTACAAGTGTTTCACTTCATCAAGAATCCATTCATCTCGGAGCACATCCACCCTCCGGACCGAAAGGGCATTCGTCTGCTGCAGAGATTCACCAGGAGGTGAGACCCTGGGTCATAATTCTAGAATTCGATGAGTTGGTGGTTTTCATTACACCTACTCACCTATAGAGACGCTACAACGTAGAGCTTACTCTACATCCGAACAAATTCTAAGATCAAGGGTTCTGCTGCAATCTGGACGCCTACAAAGAAGATAAGTTCCAGAAGTTAAAGAAATTTGTTTCACTCCTGCAATCTCTCTAGCATTAAATTGCCATTCTCGAACAGAAAAAATAAAACAAAGCTTTTCCTGATTTCATAAAAGCCGGACGTGGACGTCGTACCAACTGGAAGAGAAAACATCGATGGTACATGAAAGGAACAGGCTCACAGTCCACTAACTTCACACTCTCGGGAAAACTGGAGTCTCTTAGCTAGCCCAGTTAATATCAAAGGGTGCTGAGAGAATGGCACGTTGCATTTACAAAGAGTCAATTAAAAAACCCTGCCTACTTCAGTTTGCACAATCCAGAAGCTGCTTTGAACAAAGCCAAGAGCACAATGACTCATTGGGGGCCAAGAGGTGGGCTAGTTGAACTTTTTGATAAATTCAAGCTTAATTTCACGACCTGTAAGAAAGCAGGTATCATCAACATAACATATCCATTTGCTAATGCACCAGTCTTTCTGAAGAGAATTCCGAGGAAATCACTCCTCCATGTAATTGCAGGTAACTGCAGAAATGATGACATTACTTCTTCTCTGTAAGTTTCCTTTCCCACCTCCTCTTCTGCAAAAGCGAAAATCATTGTGAATGGTTCGTCAGCACACAAACCTTCTGACACGCTTCGTGACTGCTTTTAGTGCAATTTGACCAACTCGACTTGTATATTTTCAACTCTGCTACCGCTAGCAACTTCCATTATTCGAAAGCGGAAAGAGTTCTACGAGACAAGTCTGCAAGATCATTAAGAGCAACAAGACTAAACCTGACAAATTTTGTGGTAAGTGACAAGTACTGTGACTTACCTTCATGTCAGCCAACATTTGCGGCATCTTTTCCATGAGCTCCACTGTGCGTGCTCGTCTGGGACAGAAGTATTTATTCTTAGACTCCACATTAAAAGATCACTAAAAGAACATTCATAAATCTAAGAAAATCACGTCAAAATCCCAATTAAATCTGACAAGGTTAAGATAACCTAATATCGATCGCGATTTCGAAAACTACAAATCCCGGAGGACTAAATCTGTGATGCACGTGGATTCACAAGTCCATCAAGGAAAAGAGCAATAGGAGCATACTTGAGAGCAGCTTCACGATCAACTTTGTGGCCTTTCATTTTCGTCCGTTCAGGTTTTCGTGGGGCGTCATACGGCCACTCACTGCAACAAAACTCATAAGTGCGGGAGTCAAAGACTTGAGAACCATTCGCGCAGAAATCATTCTACAGCATCATACACTTAATTTTCCTACCCACGGAAAAAAATAAATAAAATAAAATAAAATGAAATAAGTGAGGGGGGCAGCAACAACTCAACCCAGCATTCTTGGTCACTATCAAAGCCTACTGTAACCGAATTCTGATTAGTTTAGACAAAACTAGTGTCCAATTACTCGCGCCATAACCTGTGTTCGCAAATGCCACCAATCGATCGCGAGAAACTAACAGAATTCTCAAATGCCAGCAATTCATGGCGAGAAACTCTTCTGACAATGCACATCGTGAAAGGAAAGAATGCAATCAGCAACCATACCCGCCAGCGAGTAGAGTTTCCTTCCGAATTTTAGCACGGTGCCTGGCGCTGATGGCTAGAGGTGTCCATCTTCCCTTCTCCCAGAACCCGTGCACGCCCTTGGCAAGCTCCCCAGCCCATTTCGCCAACCCGGTCGACATCACTGCAATTCCTCGCTCCTCAAAGACCACAACACAGGCACAGAAGCAAAAAGAGACCTCTCTACCTCTACCTCTCTACCTGTACCGTCTGCGTCCCTCACTCCCTCACTCCATCCCCTTCTTCCTCGATCTAAACCCCAGCGCTGCGCCTGAGCCTGCTCCGTCCTCTGTTGCGCAAAAAACACAAGTTGTGCGACAATCTACAAAGCTGAAACCCTAAAGCCGAGTCAAGGTGCTAATTGTGCAAAATCGTGCAGAGGGAAGGAGGGTAACAACAGCACCGCACTGTGAAAGAAAGTTCATCGCAGGGGCTCCTAAACCCTAAATCAGAGCTTCCCTTCAAGCTTCGCGGCACTCGAGGTTGAGCGGATTGTGCGAGATAGCCCCTGGAGCTCGCACTGGATGGATGGATGAAATATGGATGAATAATTTTCATTCGTTCTCTTTCAGAGATCTCTTCGCCTAATGAGGTCTACGATATTACGTTGAGGATTATGGCTTTTAATTATGGACAACCAACGAGCTTATGGGTTTTCTATTGTTACAAATTTATTCTTGGATTTTTCTTGAAAACCAAGTTCCAACTGTTTTAGTTAATCAACAAAAATTAAAGATATATGCATTATATATATTTATTTACTTACCTATAATGTTACACCATAAAATTGTGATAAATGGTAGGTGATAATTTAGTGTACCTTTATAGATAAATATAGGTATATATATATTTTTTTTTTAAATATAAATTTTTATTTTTCATTTTTGAATCCCTTTTATTATAAAGTTATGAGCATTGTGTTGTATGATTTTATTGTATTGTTGCCTAGTATTCTTTAATTAAACAATTTTTTATTTTAATTCTAGATTCTATATTAAGTTTATTACTGCAAAGAGACATAATAAATAAATTCTACGTAAGTTATTGTATACAAAAATTTGAAGCGAATTGCTTCAATTATCATAATCCATAAATTAAAGTATATAAAACTAATACTATTCATAGTTATATTGCCAATTGTATTGATATTCAATGAGGAACAGATATTCTAAATTAAAATGTATATATTTAAATATTTTATTGTGATTTAGTTGGAGAGTGTATTAATTTATTATTTATTGTAATTGTTACTAAGTCTTTTGTATCAATTGTCTAATTAATAAAACTTTATAATTTAGAATCCTCAAGTGTTGGTTAAATTTTCCATCTAGTTCTATAGTAAGTGTATCTTGTTTGTTAAATATATAAGCAATTTTTTTTATTAAGATAATTATTGACTATAACAGTAAATTTAATTAATACATGCTTACTAAAACAATTCTTGTTTGTAAGAGAATTTATTTGTTTAAAATTAAATCTTTAGAAATTAGAATTTCATGTTTGATTTTATCATAGTATTATAATTTTTTTTCTTTGCTTGATCATTTAAATTTGCAAGAAATATTCAGATCTTATCAAATAGTTTATTCTTTATGTAAAAGTAATATTTTTAAGAAGATATTTTAAGTCACTATTTAGAATTGTAATTACATTAAGAAAAAATGCAATGAATCTTATTGATTTGTGTACCTATATTCAATTTAATACTTTGTTAAAATTAAAATTAAAAATTAAAATACTTTGTAAAGAGTAAAAATTAGAAAAATTAAAGACTAAGTAAGTTTATTGGAGATTTATAATGTAAGTACTAGTTAAAATGTACTTTGTCAAACAAGAGAAGATTAATAAAGAACTCCAACTCAAGTCTAATTTAACTTTTCATTTTTTTTTCAAATATTATATTTGTATTAAATAATATCACATTTTTACTGATATTATAAATTGATCTATTTGTATAAATTGATTGAAAAATACTAAATAGTGACACTTGTTTATATATATACTTTGTAAGACTTTCCACTCTAATACTACTTGTATTATTATTGTATTATAAAAGGCTATTTTTGTACTATCAAAATAAAATCTTCTATTGGGAATTCAAAGATTGTAGTCTTATTTCTAAATTACAAATAATTCTAATATATCTTAAATGTGGTCTTATTGATCTTAATTATTTTTAAAACAAAATTGAAAATAAAACAAATCTTTAGTGATGTAATTTGTGTTATAAAATTTATTGTATTAGGTAGTTATGATTACACACTTAGATTAATATAATTTCTATTCTACAATATTGAAAGAATATATACCTTAGCTACTGCACAAAAAATGTATGATATTATACTCTATATGCAAAAAAGGTAAAACAACATATAGATTTGTATCATTACAAAAATTAGTAAATTTTGATAAAAATTGTAAATATTTTCAATGTTTGTACCAAAAATAGAATAATTATGCAAGTAGAAAATGCTTTAAACAAACATGAACTATTTAAGATAAATATTATGAAAAAATATTACCTAAAAGACTTTGATTGCATATTTGTACAAAAGAAATTAAAAGAAAGACAAAGAATGTGATTAATAATAATATTACAACTTATTGAAGTGTTTTTAATTTTTGAGTAAAACAATAATATAGTTCACACAAAAAGAATCAAAATCTGGCATCAAGCATCTCTAAACACCATACATGACTTTATTCAACTTGTTTATGGCTATCTCAAATCTGAATGACATACAAAATTTATATTTTTAAGAAGACAATGATACCAATATGTATCATGCTTATTTCATATTCTTTAGCAATATTTGTTCTTATATTGTGCACTCACCACATGAAGTGGTAAATTTAAAATTACAAATAATTGTATAATTAAATGAAATACACACCACATTTCTTTAGGTTCATAACATTCACACATTTCAGACATTTAATTGCTTCACATTAAATAGTATTAGATATTCGTTTTCAAAGGCTTCGATCGTACTTCTTACATTTACTCGTATCGGTATTGAAGACATATTCTTTGACACCAAGAAAATAACGAACAAACCACAACAGCTAAAACGCACATTCATATAAGAAATGGGACTTGTTATTTGATTGGTCTAGAAACAGTTCGTGTTTAAATTAAGAGTCAGTTTCCAACAGGCAGAGGCATCTGGTGGATTAACTTAATCAAATACGAATATCCAGGCAAGAAACTGAATACATACCACATTCCAGTTTCTTAAGAAGGATCATGTGTGGTAGTAGGCTAACGTTTAACACCGGCAAAATCTAGTTTCCGTTCATCCCAGGTAAAGCATTACTACAAAAACTTTGGGGCTCCCTCCGTAAGATACAAAATTGAAAACATGTTACTGGAGTGCGGAAGAGTACAATCAGTGCAGCTACGCTGCAAAAAACCATGTTCTCCATCTTGCTCGTACAGGAACATTTCACTTCAATCTTTCAAACCTCGAAAGCCAAGGTCTACTTACAATTCTAAAACCTTATACAAAAGTTACAACATAATCTGAAGCTTTCAACCAAACTTCATGTGGCACCAGCGGGCTAGCTTACTAGACCCTTTTAGACATTGGGCGGGGGCCAGATCTTGGAGAAGTGCTCCTCGACCCGCTCAGTATTGTTGATGTAGCCATCAAGTCCCCGCCGCAGCAGATCCTCAGCTAGTGGGCCTAACGCTTTCGCAAAAGTACCTTGATCCCATTTTTGGATCTGTTTATGGGTTCCAACTGGATCAGCAGGTTTTCCAAAACAGTATCTCTTACAAACCAATTCCTGCTGGCATAAAGAAATATGGAACCGAATATCTAGTGTCCATGAGAATCCACATGCGACAAGTCCGTTACACAACACCAGAAAAAAGACTGTTACTTCACCTCTTGTTCTGAAAACGTTGCATTCTGGGCAGTGGATGGGCTCAAACGTCTTGCAAATGCATATTTGTCTTCAAGATCAGCCTTGGATTCTTTCAGAGACAGGAGCACCTTGACTGGCACTATGAGGTAATCCAGGCTACATAAAACAATTGATTTCATGTGTTAATGAGAATGAAATCTAATGGAGGTAAATGAGAAGAACCTGCAGCAATGTTCAAGTGACACATATGGAAGGGTCATGCATACGTACCCAAGCAGGCTGAAAACATCTTGCTTGTTGCGCACTGCCGCTGCCATGAGTTTGGATTTGTGCCCATATTTATGGATGTAGTTGTAAGATTTTGTAACCTGCGCAAATCCCAAAATGACGATCATTTCAATCTTGCTGGGAATTTCAAAGTAGCTATCATCCCTGCTCTAGTTTCGACCAAATTTGGACAGTATGGAAGGTCTAGAGTTTAGCTTACAAGTGCAATGCCAGGATCAGCTCCACTCGCTAAAGCTGCATCAACGTCTTTGTCACCTGAATTTGTCCGAGCCCAATCCTGTCACGGAAAACCAGTGTTACTTTAAATATGTAGATTAAAATGAAACAAAAATCCCCTTCTGCTGTTTGGGAGCCCTGGACAATACCACAACAGCAGTGATGTTGGAAAATTACTAGCGGAAAGTAATAGGATTTACACGTCCAAAAATCTAAAGCTTACCCGGACCCTGCCAACGAAGATCTGAATTACAGATGCACCTGCTTGGGCTGCAGCGGAGGCTTGAGCAAAGCTGCAAGGAAAATTGAATGGCATCGGTGACCATCCGTGAATAGAAAAGAATTCTGGTCTATAACTTAGAATGCAGCGCACTAAGTTTGTTGAAGCAAGGCTTCCACGGCGGCAGCCATTTTTTCTCTCTTTTTTACTTCTACTTTTACTTCTATTTTTATTTCATTTTTATTTTTTTGAATAAGTCGATATAGTCCTTGTCATTATTACAAACCGCTGCAACAATTCTACTGCCATGTATGAACATAAGCATAAAGCAGAAATATTGAATGAGAGTAACACCTGTAAACTAGGCTGACGTGTGTTTGAATGCCTTCAGTTTCCAGCTGCCTTGTGGCTTCAATACCCTACAAAACTTCCAGTTGTTAGAGCAACCATACATTCTAATACACTGTATTTATAAGAACAGCCACCATTCTCCAACGCATTGAAGCCATTTCGTCTGATGTACCTGCCACGTAGCAGGAATCTTGAAGAGCAGCCTATCCCTGGGAACTTCGACTTCATCGTACATCCGAAGAAGTTCATGTACCTGCATTTAAAATGTTCCAAATTTTAAGAAAACATGAAAAGATGAAAAAAACCCAGCATTCCTTCTCTATCAGAACAGACCACCCGCAAATATCGCATAAAATAACTCATTGGAACTGCATCTATCATGCAATACCTCTTCCCATGTAGCATTAAAACAGAGCCTAACCTCATTGACGATGCCGGGAGTGTCATAAGCCAAACGGGCGTCCACTTCAGTGGACACTCGACCTGGTACTGACTTCACCAATTCCGCTCCAACATTAACAAGAGCCTGGATCACCCACCAGATGATCTGCTAAGGATTGTCGCTACAACGAGAAGTCTTGTACTTATATCCACTTCATCCAACAAGGAAAATGCGCTACATCATGAAACCAAGATCAGGCCAGTTTTCAATGAGGTAGTTCTGGCTGCAAGTTCTGTTTAAAAAAGAAATGCAAAGAAGTGTCACTAGACCAAGAACGAACGAGGCACCTTGTTCAAAAAACATGATAACCGCTCCCCACTATTCTCCACGTAGCACTTGTTATATGCCAAGGCACTATCAATGGCGCCCTGCACAAAAACCAACGTGATCAACTATTTTTATGACTACCACGGTTTATCTTTCTTGAGGTGCAATGGGCTTCTTGACAAGGGGTACCAGGATAGCACAAAGTAATACGAAGCTTACATTGTATGATCCTTTAGGAACACTGGTTATTCCAAGCAGCAACGAGGAGCTGACTGTGGCAGCTGTAGGAGGAAACCTGAGCCCCACCACTCCAATCCAACTCTGTTTAAGAAGCTTTATAAAATCCAGAACCTTTTTAATTGTATTGGAGGAAATAAGATAAGTCTACATGCCCAAAAAACCTTGAACTTCTGTCGGAGCGTCTAAAAGATTTATTTAAAACACTATTCTACGGGAAAATAATCGATACGAAACTGTTGACCTATTCAAATCAAACTAAAACGACCATATAACGCCACGGTTGCAGCACAAGTTACTTTGAAATGTGTACTGGAATATCAACTTGTTTGCATATTACAAAGAAAAATGTTACATCCGACCCGAGGAACTTAAGATACATGTCATCTGCAATAAGACTCGAATCAGAGAGGCACAAAATACTACGCTCACCTTTCAAAGTCGTCAAATATTACTGTATCAGGTACCACTTCGCTGTATTTTCTGATGGCATCTAGCTCGGTACCTTCAGCTGCGGATAAAACAAGGAATTTAGATCAGGTAATGCACATCCAAACCATTCCTTATGCCTAGGAGCACACTTGAAAAGCATCAGCGTCTGTCAGAGACCACACATTGCTAGTTAACGTATCGTTGGGCACATCTGCACTTTACCAAGATTTTCCAATCACGAAACATGCCATATTCATACACTATGTATCAAGTTTTTGGTCCTTACAGGACCTTGATTTTTGCAAATGAGATTTACAGTTCACAATACCGATTAAATGAAAACCCTCCACAACTTCAATTCCATATAAAAATATGCTCCAATTGCAAACATCCAAAACTGGTAACTAAAAGGATCGGTAATGCTAGGACCCCGACATAGGACCAAAGTATGTCAAAAGATCGCAAACAGTCCACAAAGAATCCAAATTAACCTGCTGCAAGAGAACACACATGATATATGTTTCATCCCTCAAAGGAATACCTCGGCATGATTCCAGAATCCGAAGACACACCAAACCAACCAACCAACCAATGATACAACAAACGAACAAAGCACAGTGCCGAATTCTCCTGCAAAGAAGTACTTGCGCTAGTAACAACCTCAACAATATATCGAACGAGCTGCAATCTCAATTCTGACAGAAACAATAAAATGTTTCTCGAAATACTTCTCGACATAGATAGAGTATTTGATAAGGGTTGTTACAGTAGGAAACGCCATCAATCACAGGATTCATAAAGCTCCTCCATAGAAAACATTCTGAGCATCTTTAAACGACTTAATCGTTTAAGTTCGATACAATGTGGCGTTTCAAAGTTCACGCCTTAAATTGAAAATTGAAGATGTCGTAGAGATTTAAGTGTAAAGAATTCTAACGACATGCTTGAAAATGCTGATTGCATTCAAGAACCAGAATACAATTCCTTGCACCCTTAACACCTCCACGCGTTGATAGTGGCAAACCAAATCCCTACGGATCCACTCTTCTAAATGTAGACAAATGGGTAACTAAATGTAGGTTCACATAGCTCAGGAAGCTAACATAAAAAAGCAAATCAGTACAAACACCGGCTGAGAAAAACCAGAAAATTACCAACACTACCATAATCTGACATAAGCACTACTCTAACCTCTAATTTTCAACTTTCATATTGTGGCGGCACAATACACAAAGTTTTAAATAAAGTAAATTAAATGTTTTAATAAAAATCAGGATCATGTTTAGAAGACTACAGGAAATGTACATACCTGTGCTGACGCTAGCTCGCAAACTTAAGCCCTTTGGCTTACTCACTACGTTGCTGCCGAAGGCACCTATACATTGAAATCCGGGAACGTTGAAGCCAATTGAATGACGCACCAGGGACTGCACAAAAATCGACCATCATGAGAGAAGAGAACTTGCATTGCGAGACTGCAATTTCAGACGACACGCTTTCAATCAAATCCTAGACAATTTTTTCTATTGATAACAAAAAATAAAACAAAAAATAGAATAAAACACGAAGACAAAGATTAAAATGATAAAAATAAAAATAAAAATGGCACCACATTGTACTCTTCCTTGCACAAAACAAACCTGAGCAACAATGCGTTTCTATTGTCAATCATCTCAGCCCACATCACTTGCGATTGCGCAAGCCACGATGGATTTCAAAGACTGGCAGTTCATAAATTCCCATGCTGTCAGTTTTTCTTACTATCATAGACATAGATTTGGCCATTTCTCTCAGGTCCTTGCATCAAAAGAATTCCACAAAGGCCATGGACATGTCACGAGAAGCATGCTTGCACAAGAAATACATTTTCGCCGCACTCTTCATCTGTCCCTGTTTCTATACTCCAACGAGAGACATTCCCGAAACTCACATTCTCATAAGACAGAAACGTTCCACTAATTGCCAACTCCAGAGTAATAAGAACAACAGAACTAAATAATCCAAACCGAGTGATCTAAGACCTCTCTTCCTCACCAACACGGTAGCTTAGATTACCACGACAGCAGAAACGAGATCAAACTCGGAAAATCTAACCACATTGGACTCCGCAAACCTACCGACCCTCGTTTTCTACCAACGCATTCCCGAAAGAGTCTCTCGAACTATACAGCGGAAAGAAAAAAACGCATCCACGGAGGCCATTGCCGGAAACAACACCATGAACAGAAATCGAGAAAGGAACCGGCGGTAAGAAAGAGACACAATGAATTGGCAAAAAATGGGGAAGAAATGCGCACTGTGCGGTGCGGTGCGGCCCTGGTTCTCGCGCATACGTGAACGCCGGGGCTCAATGCGGAGCACCCTGACGCCTTCAATGCCGTGCTCGCCATCCCCGCTCCACCACGATCCTCTCAACAACACCCGAACACGGAAGAATTAATGGAATGATCTGCTGCAACGCGATCGAAGTGATCGAAGGGAAATACAAAATAAATATCTTCTTCGATGGGGAGTGAGAGAGTGGGCTTTGTTTGTTCGTTTGTTGAGACGGAGCTGAGCCTCGGATTCGTCGCTGGGGTCCGAGTCATCCCCTTGCCATCTCAGCCTCGTTCATCCGCACCTAATCGCGACATCCTCATGGATGGGTGGATGGATGGATGGGTGGATGGATGGGTTTTATCCACGTCCATGTTTCATCTGCCATGTCACTCTTGTTTTTTTTAATGGGAGCTGGTGGCCCGACTTGGATTGAAACTTTTTGGGGGCCTTTTTCCATGGGTTGCTACTCCATGGATACGTTTTTCTTTTTCTTTTCTTTTTTTGCATCATAATAAATTCATATTTCCGTTATCCTTGTTTTGTTTTCTTTTTGAGATAGAATCATGGAATTGTGTCTCTGTTTTGTACATTTCATCATCGAGATGTTAGTATTTACAAATCCATTCAAATACAAAATATATGTTATTTATTTATTTACTTATTTTTGAATTTTCTTTTAGAATGTATAATTGATGCTTTTCTTGGTAATTTTTTTGTTTGATAGAATAATCATTATATATATATATATATATATATATATATATACATTACAATGCTGCATTCACAGCATAAAAAAAAACCTTAGTTTACTTTTCCATAAGTATGCTCAGTCATTTTTATAGTTTTATTGAATAAGTTCTATTTTGAATTCATTTACATTTGCAAAAATCTCAAGGAATTAAATATTTATTTAAATTTATTTCCCATAAAAATTAAAATATGTAATTTTATGCTTTTAAGACTAAAAAAAAAAAAAAAAAAAAAAAAAAAAAAAAACATAAGCCTTTAACAACAACTTATGAATTTTTACAATTCTTTTAAATTTAAATTTAATTTTTTTCACATCTTATGCTTAAATTTGTTTAAAAGAGTCATTCATGTAATAACTTTAGGAGAATGTTAAATAGACCCATGCTTTTACTAAATAGATCCACCCTTGATGAAGAATATGGTAATCATGATGAATGTGGTTGGTTTTTATTGGTTGCAAATCTAGTAATGGAAAAATGAAACTAAAAATCATTATACTTTTTTATGATAGTTCAAATAGGTGAATTGATTTAGTAAAAACTTGGGTCTATTTTAACATTCTCCTAACTTTAAACCTTTAATATTTAAGTCAAATTTTAATATATTTTTCTTATATATGTAATTAATTAGAAATATCAATTAAACTTACTTTGCAAGATTTGCATTTCAATAGTTAAATTTCTACTTTTGATAAATATTAATTATTAATTATTAAAAATATGTAATTTAAATACAAGTACTAAATTTTTATATAAATATTTAGTACTTTTAAAAAGTTATAAAATAATATATATATATATATATATATATATATATATATATAGATTTAATACATAATAGATATAAAAAAAATTGTAATTACAAATGTCTTTTGGAATTTTTCAATCCCTCTAAGTATTTCTACTACTACTTTAAAAGCCCCTAGAATTCTAAAACATCTTCTATAGTATCCCAAAGATTCTAAAGAATCTTTCATATTCTCCTTAAGTTTTTATAATCATCCATTTTTAATCTTCTAAAGCTTTCTAAGAAAAATTCTTAAGACTTTCAAATTATTTTAAGACTCCTTGAGCCTTCCTTAGAAGCTTTCATACAACTATGTTGTTACTATATAAATAAAGAGACAAGATATGAAGTATCCTATTCTTCCAAATAATTGTTTTAAAACTAATTTGATTTGGTATCATGATTCTCTGATATTCCTTAATTTCTTGGATGCTTGTTCTTATGCCTTAGACATCATAATTTTTTTAATGATCTCCTTTCAAATGGTACACTATTTAATAATAAAGACTTAAGACTTACAAGTTTATTCTTAAAACCACTTTTACTTTAAATTGAAGATAGAAAAATTGCTATCAATAAAAAAAATCTAAACTTGTATATCTCTATATATATATATATATATATTAAGTATAATTTATTAATCAAATAAATAAATATAGAATAAACACTTACTTTGAAAATAAAAATAATAATTTCAACTTATCTACAAACAAAGAATAGAAGTTTTCTTCAAACAAACACAAAGTCAACTCTTAGTACTTCAAAGGAAGCAAAATTTCATTAAAAACCCTTTGTTAAAACTTACTGGCATTTTACATCTTAAGAACTTAGAAAAAGCTGTTTTTTTACACTAATCAAGTTGGATATGAATTTACATAAAGATAAAATTTAATTATAGAAGCAAATTCATAACACGTTTCATTCCAATGATGATTTCCTCCTCCAACACAACATTGTTTCTCTTGCCTGGTTGAGGTCAAATGTAGGACATCATTAACTTCAAAGCTTTCAAAATCAATTTAAAAAATATTTCTCACCTAATCTAGAATCACACTATTTCCAATATCCTACTCCCTCTAAACTGATCACTTAGTGATGCACTTTTATCAGACTGGGTAAAATAGAACTGTATGTATGCCACTTCGACAGATCCTACACGGCATTTGAACCTCATTGCGAGTCTAAATTTAGATAATGTTATTGAAGTTTAAATTTTAGTGTACAAAACGCATATCACGAGGCATGATAGAAGGTTTGGTCAGAAAAATAAAAAGTAGAATTGGCAAGAACCTAAACAGCTCAAGATCAGAAACCAGGCAAGTTTGCCAGTGGCACTTATTGCTCAGGACATCGTCTACCACCAGTAGATCGACTCCCGGTCTGCTCATACGTCCTAACTCTAATGACAAACTTACTTATGCCTACCAACGCAATCGGAACACATACGGAAGGGGACTGCGCACGATATTGCCATTCATCGAAATGGTACCCCCGGGCATGAAGATAACTTACCAAATATCCATACATCTTGGATAGCGATGACTGCTACTATGCCACACTAGTTGCTCAAGGACATAAGCACTGAGTTAGCTATGAAAAACAAGAGTATCGAACTCGTTTCCACATACATCCTAATATAGCCATTTGCATTTGTAAGAACTCCTGAACTCATCACACAGACCGCATGACCCTATTCTAAAATCCGCCAGTCAGTTGCCCTCTGCTCCAAACCTCATGCACAAGTACTTCCAGACCCCTTACAATTGTTGTTCATTCTTCAAAAATAATTATCAAAGAACCTCGTCCTCGTGGTAGAGATACAATCCCAGCCCAAACCGAGCGCACGCGCGACGGAAGGCCATACCTTCGGCTTTTTGCACAGGGTCACCAAACGCCGAGTCAGACACGGATGCCGTCCCTGAGGCCTCCCGCCAGCTCTCCCCGTCAATTCCCCGTATCGTCACCCGGTAAACTACAGACACCGTCGTACCATCCGCCGAGAACACGATACTCCGCACCTCTCCGCACCACCCGGGCGCGTAGAAGCTCAGCATCCGGTTCGCATGGTACCACGGAATGTACTTCAGCGCCACTCCCTCGTCACTCCGCGTCTTCAACACCTTGTCCGGCACTCGCTTGTTCATATCGCGCATGATCTCGGCCAGCGGCCTCGTGATCAGGGACTGCTCCTTCGACGCCTCCAACGGGACAGCATAGCTTGCATACGGCACGGCCTTCCCGGCGTCCATGGCTGCCATCCTCACTACCTGCCCATGGCTATGGCTTCTCTTAATCCGATCCCACCCTATTCTGGTGACCGAAACCTCGTGCCGCAAGGGCACGCCGCAAAGGGATGAGCCCGCCACCACCATCGCCAGGGCCATCGCTTACTCCTCCGATCTCTGCTGTGCGCTTCTGTATCAACAGCCAGACCTGCGAGAAAATAAATAATGGATAAAGCCTTGGACTCTCGAAGAATGCTGAGCTCCAAGTTTCACTGCAAAAACTACAGCGAAGGCTAAGGTTAGAGGAGGAGGAGGAGGCTGGGACGGGCTGGGGCCGGTCCCGCGGGCCGGGTTCCATGGGGAGCGGGTCAACATGGAACCTGTGTGAGTCGGCCCAGGTCCCGTTCCGTCCCCGTCAGCGATGATGGGCCTTGGGCATGACCCCCTCCCTCACACGGTTCCAGGACCCCTCACCTAATCTCGTCCCTTTGGATGGATATAATCCATTTATCTTTGTCATCCATCTCCTGCTACGAATGGATGTGGTCATCTTACTTGGATGAATGTTTTTGAAGTGGTAATTGTAAGCATAACAAAAGGATGACTTCATACATCAAAACTTCAGAGGTTTTGGTATATATATATATATATAGATGTTTAGTTTATACTTTTATGTACTTTGCTTGTGAAAACAAAGTTGTAATTATTTGGTTTTTTACAAAAAAAATCTAATATCTTCAATTATTCAAGCATTGTTGGTGTATAGGAATATTTTGATATTATCCATTAAAGAAAAAATTAAAATCTTACATTTATGTTGTGATTTTGGTTTGACGTACATGTACTGGACTGTGACATTGTGACATTAATTCATAGTTTCATGCCATGCAAAAAGCATGTATCAAAAATGAGTTTTCTTATAAATGTTTTATATCTGTTTTACACGTGTATGAATACATATGACTCAAATTTGGCATGTCACCATTCTTTTAATGTTTTCTTTTATTACATGGTTTGTTATAAGCAATCAGATGTGGCATACACCAGTAATTGGGTTCTTGATTTGTTAATTTTAGAATCATTTGAACATAGAATTACTGTTTGTATGCTCATGATATGCATGAATCACTTCAAAATCAAAACAAACTTTTAGGAGTTAAAATGATTTTTCAAAAACATTGATTTTGCACATCAATGTCTAAAAATAAGTATTAATTACATGATTAATATGTGCATGTGAGTATGATCAATTTTGTACACATTTCCTATGGTTAAATGTGTTTTTTTTTTTTTTTTTTTTTTTTTTTTCTTTCTTTCTTTCTTTCTTTCTTTCTTTCAAACTAACAATGTTTTAAAGTAATGTTTTACAAGCTAGACCATTTGAATTCTTTTTTGTTAGTCATAGTGGGAGTCCATTTGTTGTTTTCTAGTCTTGTACAAAATTTAACCCAATTATTCAAATTTAAATTATTATAAAAACAAAGCCTACACAAAATGTAGAAGTTTTTTACAAACATTACTGAATAATTCATTGTAGTCAACATGTTCAAATAATACGAACCCAAATTTAAACACACAAACCACAACTTATAAAGTTTGCCAATCATTGGTGAACTTGGAATGAACTTAAAATCTTTCTATAGGAAAAATGGTTGTTTTGGATTTGTGCAAGGGTGGTTTAGGATAAAGTTTAGGTTGGTACAAGAGCATGACACAATTTAAGGTATTTCAACAAAAAGCAATGCACTAAAAGATTTAAGTTTATTATTTTATAGAAAAGATGATGAATAAATATTGAGAACTACGTTATTTAGTTTAAACTGTTATTTTTGTAATAACATCAAACTGGTCGTTTTCGTTACCTTGTTCACGTTTTCGCTATCAGTGTCTTATAACATTACGCTATAATCAAGCCTTCTTAAGCCATATTATTCACAATACACCTCCACACACCTTTCAAAAACATACCTTATTTTTAACGTTTTTTTAATAATCCAATTCAACAAGAAGTTGGAGCCAATTTTCAAGGCCCTCTTATTCCCTTACCTTGTTGCTGTTTTATATTCATCATTTCTAATAATTACTTACGTGAAATATAGATTCTTATCACCATTGTATGACAGAAGTAACATTTCCATGAATTTCCATGAATATAACAGGACCATCTCTGTGTAATTTTGATTAGGATGGAATCCTATGCAACAAGAACGAAAAAAGACCACGACCCACATGGAGTTTCTGTTCATTACACAATTCTCAATTCAGGATGTAGTTGAAAAGAAAGATTAGCCAGTTGTAATACCCAAACTGAATAAACGACGTCTAAAACTTGAAGTTCCAAACAATCAGTCAACAGACGAGATTTACTTGAATAGATGCTCTGCTCCTAGAAATTGTGAAGGACTCATGAATACCACATGTCATACAGAACGTTGATATCATCGTACCCTGTGAGCTTCAAAACAGCCCTGTACATTCTTTTCAGGGTTTCCACGTCACTGACCTTGGGTGTGCTGCCAGAGATCTCATTACGTCCACCATTGTCACTCTTACGAGACCTGGTTTGCGCGCTTCCGCTTGGTTTGGAAGCAGACAATGCTGCACCAAGGATCGTCTTCAGAAGTCTCTGTAGCTGAGACGTGAAAACAGCTGACACATCTGATGAGACACGAGGCGTTGTATCTTCTCCATCTTCCCTGACTCTGAACTTTACAGCTCGACAACCTTCCAAAAGATGCAGCAGAGCTTGCTCCATCATCTACAGAGCCAATACAGGAACGAGATCAGTCAAGCAATACGCTTTTATTGGATGCATAAAAGGTTAAGTGGTTTCTCTGCACTTGAAGAAAGATTGAAAAGCTGCAGACACTCTTTGGTGGTTGAAATAGTCTTGATTGAGAGCTCTACTAATTAGGAATGACAAGCATGAAAATCTTCGAACACAAATGCACCCGTATCGATGTACTTACTGCATTTGGTTGAGATGATGGTGCCATAGCTAAGCACATAGATGACCGTTCCATTAGTATCTGGAGAAACATATCTGGATGAGAAGCGGCTCGATAATACTCCAGTGCTCTCTGCCAGTAACGATCAGCCATAGATGCCAACCGTTTCGCTCCATGCAACTTGGTGTCTCGTTTCTCAGTATTGAGCTCCTCAGCTTGCATAGCCAGTGCAAACAAGCAACTGTCTCTTTGTTGACAGGCCAGTTGAAACTGAGCATAAGCAGCTTCCTGTGCCCGAAGCGAACCCAGGGATTCATACAACACCAAAGCTTTGGATATAGCTTCTTTAGCTGAGATACCTGTTTTTCTGTCAGAAGGTAACACTTGGTCACCAACCGTCTTCTGCCCTTTTGTTTTCCGATGAGCTTTCAAGAACTTGTCCTCTCGTGCAAGAAGCATTCCCAGCTTCAGATACGTGTGAGCAAGTTGAGTGAAGACCTCATTGTATAATCCCCGCATTGTGCGCTCAACTCCGTCTCCTAACGCCATGAGTTCTCTCCTTCCTTCACCATAAAATTCTAATGCTTCTTGATATAGAAACCGTGCTTCGGCAACTGTATTGACAAAGGCCTGATAAAAATGAGGCAGCTGACACTCTTCCCAATTAGACAGCTGGGAGGCAAACACCTCTGCAGCTGCTCTTCGCCCGTGCGCGAGATTACAATAGACTAAGACAATGTTGGGCAGATCTTTAACTGCACGAAATGCAACAATAGCGGTTTCGAAGGCGGCCTCGGCAGATTTTACGTTGCCTTGGGCTAGCCTCCTACGACCAAGCTCATTGCACACCCAGCCCTTCTTTCTGAGTGCACCTTCATACTCTCGCAAATGTATAGAGTCCGCAAAAGCACCAACGGCACAGGAATAACATTCTGAAGCACAAGACAGATTCTTCTCCCAGTCGTTCAAAAGCGGCTTTTTGAAGTACATGAAGATGTCTAAATGAGTTGAATCTTCGCCAACTGTGCCATTCAGCCCAGGCTCCACGACGTTTGCACCAGATGTTATACTGGTTTCCTTCGAGTATGCTTCTGAACTGAGGGTACCCTTTTCCCGACCAAGAATGTCTGTAGGTGTGGGAGGGCTTTTATTGTTCTTTTTTCCATGCTTTCGTGCATACTTCCCTGCACTTTTTTCGGAAGAAAAACTATTACTACTGCTGGCAGAGATTCCACTACTTGCTCGGTCACTCTGGCAGCTACAGCTCGTTAAACTGCAAATTTCACAGCTTACTTGAAACCGTCCCACCTTCTTCTTTAGTCTTTTCACCTCCTTCATAACCTCCTGAGCCATTTTCAGCTCTTCGCCTTGTGAAGCATCAAGATGCGTTGGAACATCGGACTCACCCATAGAGCGCTGAATCTCGGCAAAAACATCACCAACAAGAACCCAAACTTGCCCCCAAAACAACCCTTTATCCTTGAGCACCTCTGACGGCGTACAATTCGCCCCATTAGATCCACCAGTAGTGTTTATCGTCTTTTCTGGTCGGGGAGTCGAACCACGCACCAGACATGCTAACTCAGCAGCTTTGAGGGCTCGACTGAATTGGCCATCTTCTTTGTACGCTTGCCCAAGAGTAAGATATGATTCACCTAAGAGAAGAAGAAGTTGCCATAGCTTTTCATCCATTCCAAACCCAACTTCAATATCTCGGAAATCACAAATTGCTACACATTCAGGTTCTCCACAAACACATTCTGTAAAACGGTTTGGATATCTGTTAGGCCTGAGACCAACACGCTCTGCAGACGCTCTATTCTCTCCAACATCTTGGAGTTGCCGTTGCCATCTTAAGGACTTGATGGCCTGCGAAAGATGGTGAACTGCTGCTAATCGTGCAGACACTGGGTCTGCAAGTGCCTGAATTATCTGTGGAACAGGATCTGATACAGTCAACCCTCCTTCTGTTTCTCCTTGTCCATCAGGGGCACCTTCATGACGGTCATGAGAGAAGGAAGAAGTTCCGACAGTTGATGGGCTTGCCAGAACAAGATCAGTGGGTGTTGGATCATCAAAACTCTCCGCATTCTCATCAGCTGAGTTAGCTAAATTCTCAGGAGAGGTTTCCTGACAATCTTGGACACAGGGAATAATATTTGAACTATCTTCAATGTTCAACTTATGGTCAATGATTTCTGGAGCAGGCTCCTCCAGCAATCCGGGGGTGGTATCCGTAGGCGGAAGCTCTAAGACAGGTTGTTCAGCATCATCTTTCACGGCTGTATCATCGTCATTGCCCTCAATTAAAAGAGGCTGCAGCATCACTCCGAGTTGCTTGTAGCATGCTAGAATAAGCCTAGCAGCATGCTCATGAGCAGATGCCCGAATAACCTGCATGGACACAAATCCATCGTGAATGTCACGAGTCATCAATAACCATCAACACATCGAGTTAGAAAAAAGTATTTAAATAAAAAAATAAATCAAAGTGTAACTAACCAATCAGCAATATGAAAATAATTCATAAGAGAAGTGATTTCTTCTCGTCTAATCACTTTCTAGTACAGTAAATGACACTTAAGTTTTGTAGAACATTTCAAAACTTCCCACCCAACAAATTGTTAGGGATGTGTGAAGACACACACAATATAATATGATAATAGTTTATGTGATAAGAAAATGCAAAGCCTAAAAGTTTGTGTTAGTCTGAAAAATCGTTTAAAATGTAGAGGTGGACACTAACCAAGTGTTCTTGCTCGTCCATATACTCCAGACATTTTCCAAAGATTTTCGCACACTTCATTCTGTCAGCTGGGTCCTGCATGATATGGGTTTTCTTAAACATGAGTAAGATTTCTTTGTCCAAAGATAGAATGCACAACAACCCTGGTACTGAATATCATGGCTCAAAGCAGATGAAAATTACTAAGACAGTATTATTAAGAAGGAAAAACATAATGCACCAGCGATAAAACGACAGCAGGAACACCAGTAAAGCCTCAAACTGACTGAAACATTAGTATGAAAAACTGCAATTCTGGCCAAGATACATAAACATTCGAAGGAGTGGATGAGTATATTCACACTCAAAAAAAAAATGGAGACAAGGTTCGCCACAATTCAAAGTAAGCTAACTTTCTATTCTCAGACATTCATAAGGGGGAGAGGGACTACACTGCAGCTTGTGTACCAAGGAAGACTGTGGTTTTGCACCAAAACATCTCACAACAGCCTACAACTGACACACATGTGCTATAGTCCTGGTCCTCCAGCTATACATGACACCTAGAAGCAATTTAGATCCACTGCATTTATTCCCAACTCTGTGTGGAGGCTTCAGCGTGACGAGGCAAAGCATAAAAAAGATATAAGCACCATGAAAATTAGCTAGAATGAATACCTGAGATCGTGACAAACGGTTGGCAAGTCGGTACAATAGCATTGCCAGTGGCAAAGAATAGTGACCATTGCCTCGATTCCTTGAAGGAGGTAGCATACCACGTTTCTGGTCCTGTGTATCACCACATGTATTTCGAGCTTTGGAAATCACAGAAAGATCAAATAACTGCATAAGATCCTCTCCAGCGTTCTTGAAAAGCTGTCATGATAATGTAAGCCAGCACAGTTGTGAGCACTATGCAGGACTCAATTCAACAGTAATCAACGAAATACTCCACATAAACAAAAATATGCATAAATTTCTATACATTTCTCGTGAAAAAGAGTTGAAAGATTCAAGCATACATACCCAATAGGTTCCAGGGTCTTGTTTACAGTTTTCTTGTAAGAACCTAAGCACTGATGATGCATTCTGCTGAACAACATGAGGACTGAAAAAGGCTGTCCCATCCTCTGAAAGACCTTTCAAAAGAAATATATCATCTGTTTTCAGCAGTTCGTAACCTTGAACAACTCCATTGCGATGATAACACACTGCCAGTTCTGGAATACTCGCCATCACATTATCCAGCCAGGCATCTAACCACATCAACGGAGTAACCTGCACAAACAACCAACGTCCTCGTAACTACCTAATAGTTGAAGAGAGGATAGCGTAGATTGCAGCAATAATGAAGACAGTCGAGTAACAACTCCACACCCAAAAACTGAAGGGCGTGTGGCAACATAGCGACGACAGTGTAGTGAGGCCACCAACCCTTTGCTACATTGAGCGACAATGTCAAATGAACCAACTGCAAAACATCAACTGACACCACGACAAGATCAGGTGCATTGATTCGCACCTGATGGTGAATTCAAAGGAGGCTAGTGATGAATTGTCCTACCTGACGACCAATCTCCATCAGATGTAGGCTGACAGCTACATGTTTCTCATTGCTAAACAGAAGTAAATCACTTCCTAAAAGCATCCGCAGGTTCTGGAACTGCCAGAAAAGAACCCTGAGAAAATTCTCAGTTGCCGTTTGCCTTGGCGGGTTATCCGGGTCCTTAGCCATGAAGTTAGAGTTCTGTTGTTGCTCACGAATGAAATTACCCTTCTGAAAATCCAAGCCTCCTTCACAACCATTGCGTCGACTGATCACCCTCTGTTTTCCCTTTTTACTACCCCGAGATGGTCCAGATCGTACATCATCTTCACTGTAACAGCTTGCACTTTCTGAGCAAGAATCGTCAACTACCTGCCATGGAACACGCCAAGATTTTAAGGGTCCAAATCCTGGTGGAACGGTTCCTGGTGGCTGTCTTGCTGGTGATCGTCTCCTCGTACTTGGAGGAATACTCCCTTCACTATGGCAAGTTTTGGGAGAATCTGGAACCTCAGAAGCATCGTCGTGAACGGAATGCTGCACAAACTTTGAGAACAAGTTCCTATCCATTGCCTTGGCCTGGTTTTTCTTTCCCCTTACAATCTTGTCGCCTTCCTCAATATCTGGCCTGTGCGGCACATTGTAATGCTCACAATAAATAAAGATTCTTCATGTAGGCCTGAAGGTTCACACTACATTGAGTCACCTAATGCTCTACCTCGGATCAGAATATACACGACGTACAATCATGCTCGAAGCTGGCTGTAAGATTCTCTGATACCACTATCCCGTGTAAGCAGATCCTCTTCGAACTTCGCAGCAATTTGAAGGAACAAGAGGAGCCTTACCCAGAGTTTAATATAAGTGTGTGCCCAATCCGATGGACAGCAACTGATACGCGACTCTTGCAATAAGGGGTTTTAAAAATCTGCTTCAGAATGTCCACCGGAGCTACCACGTCAATTTCATCTCCATATCCAGCGAGAGCACTCACCGCTAAGCTTTCACATTTCCTTGCCAGTGGTTGCATCAAATAATCCCCTTCCCAAGGATTGCACAGTCCTGCATATCCTTGCAAAGCAGGGTGTACGTTAGAAACATGAGAAGCAAAATATCTGAGAAAAAACGTCATATGCTAAAAGAATTAGGTCAAGTCAATTGGTAATGGTTGCACAACTGACCATTTGCATCATGTGATGCGGTAACTTGCAACAACTCGTCGGACGGCATTCTATGAGAAGGTGCAGTATTGAGATCAGTATCGGTGGGCAACAAGCGATAGCGAGGTGCTCCTGTCCTGAATTCTTATCAAGCATGATTTAAGTTAGCAGGCGACAAAGGTTCCGGAGCTCAATTCGATTGGACCTTTCAATCCACAATAACTGGTTGTTTCTTTCTTACAAACATCCTTCGATGTACCTTGAAATCGAGAATTGATAAATACCTTGATTAAGATTGCAACAAGTAACAGAACCAATGAGGGTATCTTGTTAAACCCTGTAAATGTGATAAGGTATAAACACTATCTAAATAGACGATCACGAATAACCTATCTTTCACAAGATCATTATCAATGAATTTGAGAGCACGTAAAAATGCATGACGATCAGCGCACCTCTGGCTCAAAAGATTGATGGCCGGGACCAAAGCAGCCTCAGTAGGTGAGAACGGGGTTGAAGAAGGGTTTACAGTTGGCACAGGCAAGCTGCCGCAAATAAACCCCAGAGGCACAGCTGCCTGCGCACTCTGCACCTGCAGCTGCCCGACACACCCATCACGACGCATCATCCTGGCCGCGGAGGCTTCCAAAAACTGCAACAGAAGTGGAAAAGAACTGTTAAAAAAATGTTTGAAAAAATGCTAATTTAAAACATACACACACACACACACACAAGCGCAAATGAGCGAGAAAGAGGGGCAGAATTTCTCAGTGAAAATCAAAACTGACCTCGAATGAGTTCCAACACAGCAAAAATCTAAAGATTCAGATCCACAAACCTACTGCACTCACTAATCCAAAACTCCAAGCTAGCAACCCGCGATCCACAGGAAACGAGTTCACTCAGGATCGGTTAGCCAAGTAACGAACAATCCACTCTCCTCACATCAAACAATCACGCGCCAGCAACAAAAATGCACAGCAACCAACCAACCAACCAACCCTGCGAGTAGAACAACCTCACGCACCCTTCACAACATCTACAAGGCAAACTTGGTGGTTGTGCGGCAATCCACAAGGGAATAATAACCAATTCAAGGCTCAATCAAGAGCGCCGTGGCCTTGACGTCTAAATGCGTAATCATTTCTAGGGCTAAACCACAATTTGTATAGCAATTCTGCGCAAGCAAAAGTGTTCAGTAAACGGTCTTTCTCGAAGGTCCCGGTAGTTCCCGGCATCGTGATGCCGTCCGTCTGTTTACGGGGAACCGAGAACGTGATTCTGTTCCCTTGAGGCGTGGCAGCTGCGTGAGCATGCTTTGCAAAGCATGGAGCATACAAGTGAATTACAGGTTTTCTTTTTCTTTTTCTTTCTTTCTTCGACATGATATTCTCTTCGAATAACTAAATTTCTTAGCCTTGTGTATGCATAACCACTTTGATTGATTTTAAAAAAATTTATGAAGAAGTTCTGATTAGTATATTACTGATTTCGAGTAGAAAATTGAAATATTTATTTTAAGATTTTAATAAAAAGAATTGATTAAGAATACACGTTTTATATTTGATAATAGCTAATACATTATATTCATGGATGTCATTGATTTTAGGTATAAAAAAAAAAAAAAAAACCAAAAAACCAAAAAACCAAAAAACCAAAAAAACAAAAAAAACAAAAAAACAAAAAAATATAAAAAACATCGCATCTTGTAATTTTATATTGTAAGTAAAGTAAGAAGTGCTTTATAATTTAATAATTTATTTTTTTAGTAAATTTTTTATTGGATCCATTCATTTAATTTTCATGCCATTGTTTAACACAATGAGTAAAGTTGCATAAATAAAAAAATATTATAATCATTGTAGAGGTGGAAAAAAAATAGATACACATCTATTATGTAAAATAGCTTAGGTAGAAGACAAAGAGACAAAGAAACCTTCTAATTGGCTAAACATGGGAATGAGGAAACACAGATAAACAAGTGAATGGATGGATAGCAGTATCAAAGATTGCAATGTTTAAAGACACAAGTTTTCGTGTCAAATAGTATGGATTTTTTCTAGCATATATATATATATATATATATATACATATTTATAAATTATAAGTAAGATAAAAATTTAAATCTAATTGAAATATTTTAGTAATTAAAAAATAATATTTTATAAATAATAATATTTTTTATTCAAATACTCATAAAGTAAACTTTATAAAATAATTTTTAAGAATAGGAATTTAAACAAACTTATTAACATATGATATAGTTATGTATTTAATATATTTAGAAAGAAAAAAGAATAAAAATGATATAAGAGTATAATTTGATAAAATAATAAAAAAAATTATGATGGCTATTGTTAAATATAAAAAAAAAATAAAAAAATAAAAAACTAAAAAACTAGAAAATAAAAAGTTTTAAACCAAGATTAGAATATAAGGAAGGTATATAAAAGACTGAAGAAGGTTATATTCTTACATCTATATATATATATATATATATATATATATATTGGATAATGATAATGTCATATAAAAGCTTATCAATAATATACCATTACAATCTTTGCTCATGCTACCACCAATTGCCTTAAACTAGCATTATATACTATAAGTTTATAACAACTTGTGATGGCATGTGATATATAGTAAGTTATAAATGTAATAGATAGCTATATTTACTAGTATATTTACTTAAATACATAAAACTAGATAGAAGTAAATAAAGATATATTAAATTATTGATAATCTTATTGAAAAGCTTCACATAAGCTTTGTAGACTTTACATTTGTTTATAAGTGATTGGTAGGTTGAGAACTTAAAACTAGATAGAAGTAAATAAAAATATATTAAATTATTGATAATCTTATTGAAAAGCTTCACATAAGCTTTGTAGACTTTACATTTGTTTATAAGTGATTGGTAGGTTGAGAACTTAGCCAACAAGTTTGCTACATGTTGTACATTTATCTACTTGTATTACAACTTGGACATATATCATATGACATATAAGACATTATCATGTAGTCTTTTTATAAATATTATATATGAAAGTAAGATTCATGCCTTCTTCACTTTTTTCAATACTTTACTTTTATTTTTTTTTAGTTTAAGACTTCTTGGACTTTTTGCAATTGGCAAAAGCCATTCTAGTTTCAATTCTATGCATGTATCTTTTAGTTGTTTACTTTTTCTCTTTTGGTGATGTAAGAATGTATTATTATTTTTAGAATTATAATGTGATTTATGTCTTTGGCAATAGTGGCAATAGTGGCAATAGTAGAAACTACAATAGCATTAGAAATATCCTAGTTTTATTTTGTCTATAACAAGTTTTTGCAATCAAAATATCAAAACTTCTAAAACATTTAAATTATAATTGTTTCTTTTATAGGACTTTAAGTAGTTGCAAGAAGTACAAAGCTAGAAGTGAACAATAACAAACTAATACATAAATCCCTATAAAGAATATGTAAGGCTATAATATTCAAAGATCAATTTATAATATAAACTATTTAAAACATTTACTACAATTTACTACAAGATTAAAAAATCTATGTTGAGACAAAATTTATAAAAATTTAAATTCAAAAATTATATATATATATATATATATATATATAATATTAAGGTTAATAAAAAATTATTCAAAAATAAATTCAAAAATAAATCATACTATAGATTTGTATTCCAAAAGCAACACAAAGAACTTTAGATTCTTTTAAATAGTTTTTATATAGCAATACTATAAGTTATTTTATAATTTAAAAATATAATAAATTTGATGATAATAATTTTATTTTTGGCTTATTTTATGATCATGACATTTAATTGATATGACCAATGTAAACTTATTATCCAAATTATATGAAAATAAGTCATTTTTTTTTAAAAAAAAAAAAAAACTTTATAAGCATCTACAAGTATAGTAGAGATAAATAAAATAAAAGTATCAAGTTAAGATGAAAATATTAGAAGAAAATAAAATTAGAAGTAGAAACTATAATGAATGTAATTTAGAAATAACTAATTTATGGTAATTTTAAAAAATATATTTTATTTTTTCTAAAAATCGTAGTTTGTATTTTTAAAAAATGATATTGCAATACATGGCATCAAGTATCAAGCTATGTTGATTAGTATTATAGTAAAAAAAATTATGTTAAATATTTTATTTTTTATTTTAGGATTTTTCATCTAGTTTACTACTTTTCATTTGGCAAATGATTTTATCCACTTAAGATTTGATGATATTGTAGAAAAATCCTTCTTAACTTGACATTCTTGTTAAGTAAAGATTTGTGAGTATTTAAGAAAGGTTGTTATTTTTTTTACTTTTCTTCAAAATTGGTGAATTAGCCATTCAATAAAGTTTGATAATTTCCACAAACATTTGCACTCTTTAATTTTATTGTGGTAGAATGAGAGACATTTGATTAATATTATAATTACTTATTTTTACTTGATAAAAAAATATATTTGATTCATTAAATAAGGCAATCTTGAGATAGATTACATCAATTTTAATATATTAGATTTACTTTTATACTTGCTTTGAGTCCAAACTATAGCATGTAATACAAGCTTATATGGATTTGTGAAAAATTGAGAATATTAGAAGAATTTGTCAATAGGATTAAAAGCTGTAATTGAAAACAAAGGTACCGGAGCAAGATATAAGTGCACTTCTAAAATGCTGCAATTATAGTTTCATCTGTAATGCCACAATTTTATTTATATTACACAATTTTATTTAAAGTTTGTGGTTTCATCCACAATTAAGTATCAACCTTTAAACATCAATTATGAAGTTCTTTTATATCCAAATTAAATCAAATTTATACCTATTTATTGTAAAAATTTTCAAAAAATTCATTGATTTGATTTACTTTATTTGTAAGTATTTATTTAGAATTCTTATATTAGTATTAGGAGACTATGATATTATTAGGAACCTTATGTGTGCTACTTGATTTGTTATTTTTTGCCTTTATTTAATCTATTTAGTGGCACTTAATTTATAAAGATATCACTCTTGTAGAATTTTTTGCTAATATTGACACCAATTTAGTAGCCTTGTTAGATGTTAGTTTAAAATTCAAGCAATGTATTCACTCAAATAATAAATTTGTACTTATCTAAGCTGCTTGACATTATTTACAAAGATTATTGGATTTGTACTCTAAACAACTACAAATATTTTTTATTCACAATTACTTTGGAAAATTATTTCAAGTTATTATTTTCATCAATAATAAAGATTTTATAGAGATTTGGTCCCATCAACTTGATTATTGTGAAATGTCCTTGCTAAGGTTATTCATGTATTGGTGTTAGTTACAAGTGAGATGCTTCTAACTTTGATATCTTTGTAGACTTAATGAGGCTCATCCTATAGTTGTATCATTGGTCCTTACCACAACATTGTTTAAAGTCTAATGGCCCACCTATTGCAAGATATATAATATTTTAGACAATCATCAAATATCTGTAATTGTTATTAAAGATAAAGAATTGATGTTGGCCTCGGTGAAGAAGTTAAAAGCACCATGAATTATATTACTTATACTGATGATCTATCTTTTGATCTTATCCATGAAAAACTTGTCTATTATTTAATATCATTATATTTCAACATCATGATATATCTATATTTATAGTGGAGCCTACTAACCTTGGTTGTAAGAATTTTTCATTTAAAACTATATTCATTTGAAATGTGAAGTTCCTATAATATTTGACATCAAGACAAGACATACAATTTTCAATGCAAAAGATGTGTTGCCTAATGGTATCTTATTGCTGAAAGACATGGATGGATAAGGTTATTGAAAGCATTCAAAAAATTGTATTTTTTTATCATTTTTTTATTAGTAGATTCATTCATCTTTAGTTGGTACTTGTACTAGATAATCTTCTATGTTTTATTTGTATTAAAAAGATATGAGGATCTACTGTATTGTTATATGACCATTGCCAATGCAAATGACATATGGCTCATCAAACACAACTTT